CCTGCTCCCCACGGCCCTTGTCACCCCCTACCTTTGGGATGGGGGGGTGGATGGCTCCCCCCTGCCCTTATCCAGCTGCCTGTACCTGTGTCCCCCTCCTTTCCCTTGTCACCAGGGTCACTCGGCCTTTCCTGTCACTTGCCACCTTCTTCCCAAGGCTTTTCCCCCCACCCCACTTGTGCTCTGGGTGTTGTGGGACCCCCCTCCAGCCCCCCCTGTACCCCTTGTCACCTCCTGGGTGACCTGGGGACACTCTGCCCCTTGTCACTGCCTACCAAGGGCTCACATGTCCCTTACCCTAGAGGGCACTTAGGGCCCTCTTGTCACCTTATACCTGGAGATCCCCTGTCCCTTGTCACCCTGTGCCCGGGGACGGTCAGGTCCCCCCCATATCCCTTGCCACCCTATCCCACACACTCCCCTGTCCCTCGTCACCTCGTACCAAGGCCCAGAGCATGAGGGGACAGGACCAGCCGTGTCCCTGTCACTGGGGTCCTCAAACGTCCCCTCATGAACTTGTTGTTCAGGAGGAAGCGGCTTAGCCCCCCCCAGGAGGAGGAGGAGGTCGTTAAGGACCCACTCATTAAACGGTAATGACGATGGGGTGGGGGGGACCTGGGACCCTCCTGTCACCCCCTGTCCAGGGCTTTCCAGTCCCTTGTCACCCTCTGCCCAGGAGTAGCCGGGACCCTCCTGGCCCTTGTCACCCTGTGCCCAGGGACCCGCCTGTCTCTTGTCACCCTGTCTGTTGTCACCACATGCCTAAGGGTGACTGGGACTCCCGTGTCACCCGGTACCTGGCATTCGCCTGTCATCTGGGTCACCCTGTGCTCAGGGGTAGCTGGGACCCTTCTGTTCCTGCAGCTCTTGTCTCCCCTGTCCCTTGTCACCTTGGGGGACCCTCTTGTCCCTTGCCCCCGTTGTGTTGGGGACCCTCTTGTCCCTTGCCCCCTTGTGTTGGGGGACCCTCTTGTCCCTTGCCCCCCTTGTGTTGGGGACCCTCTTGTCCCTTGTCACCTCATACCACAGCTCTGCTGTTCCTTGTCATCCTGTCCCCTACACTGGGGCCCTCTCTGTCCCCTCTGTCCCCAAGGGACCGGCGCTGCCAGCTCCCCAATTTGCCCCCTCAGCCAAGAGCTCCTGGTGCCTCAAGGCCTGTTGGTGCCACCCTGTTCCCAGGGGGGCTTCTCGCACCCCCGAATCCCAAGGGGCTGCAGCCAGGGAGGTGTGTGGGGGAGCAGACACCCCTGAGCGTGTCACCCGTCCGTCCCCCGCCCTGGTCCCCTGGTGTTGCCCATCTGTCCCCTGGCCTCACCTGTCCGTGTCACCTGTGCGTCACCTGTTTCCCCCGCCCCAGTGTCACCCGTCTGTGTCACCCATCCGTCCCCTACCCTGGTCCCCTGGCATCACCCGTCCGTCCTCCCGGCATCACCTGTCCGTGTCACCCGTCCGTCCCCCACCCTGGTCCCCCGGTGTCGCCCGTCCGTCCCCTGGCGTCACCCATCCGTGTCACCCGTCCGTCCCCCAGTGTCGCCCATCCATCCCCTGGCATCACCTGTCCCTGTCGCCTGTCCGTCCGCCACCCTGGTCCCCTGGCGTCACCCGTCCATCCCCGGTCCATGTCCCCCGGCATCCGTGGTCCATGTCCCCCCTCTGTGTCCCCCGGCGTCCCCTGTCCGTCCCCCGGTGTCCCCCCGTGTCCGTCTGTCGTCATTCCCCAGCGTCCCCCCTGTCTCCCGTCCGTCTGTCCCCAGCGTCTCCTGTCCGTCCCCCGGTGTCTCCTGTCTGTCCGTCACCCGTCCTGTCCATCCGTCCCGCAGGAGGAGGAGCAGGAGGCTCCCATCGGAGACGCCCAGGACACCAACCCGCCGGGCCCGGTGGCCGAGCACCCCGGGGTGCCGCCTGTTGCCGCGCCGGGGTCCTTGGCGGCCGCCTGTTGCCGCGTGTGTCGCCGCGCCGGCGCCGTGGTCATGTGCTACCGCTGCGAGCACTGCTACCACCTCGACTGTCACCTCCCCGCCCTGCAGGAGGTCCCCAGGTAGGTCTGATCCCGGGATCACATCCCTCCCGGAACAGGGGACAGTGACACTTGTGTCCCCCGGCCTTCAGGTTGTCCCATCCCGCTGGGATCTGAGGGTCCCTGTGCTTAGGGATGGTCCCTGCTAGAGCTCCAGGATCCCCTGTCCCTGCTTGGGATTCCCTCGCTTGGGATTCCCTCGCTTGGGAGTCCCCCGCTTGGGATTCCCTCGCTTGGGATTCCCTCGCTTGGGATTCCCTCGCTTGGGATTCCCTCGCTTGGGATTCCCTCGCTTGGGATTCCCTCGCTTGGGATTCCCTCGCTTGGGATTCCCTCGCTTGGGATTCCCTCGCTTGGGATTCCCTCGCTTGGGATTCCCTCGCTTGGGATTCCCTCGCTTGGGATTCCCTCGCTTGGGATTCCCTCGCTTGGGATTCCCTCGCTTGGGATTCCCTCGCTTGGGATTCCCTCGCTTGGGATTCCCTCGCTTGGGATTCCCTCGCTTGGGATTCCCTCGCTTGGGATTCCCTCGCTTGGGATTCCCTCGCTTGGGATTCCCTCGCTTGGGATTCCCTCGCTTGGGATTCCCTCGCTTGGGATTCCCTCGCTTGGGATTCCCTCGCTTGGGATTCCCTCGCTTGGGATTCCCTCGGCTCTCGCTTGGGATTCCCTCGCTTGGTATTCCCTCGCTTGGGATTCCCTCGCTTGGGATTCCCTCGCTTGGGATTCCCCCGCATCTGCTGCTCCCTGGATCTCCAGGGATCTCCTGCAGCCACTGGATTTTGGGATATCCCCTCCTATTGATGCTCCTAGTTTCCTAGTACCAGGAAGAGAACAAAGTTCCTATGAGCCCTCATGATCCTTTATGGAATTCACTGGTGCCACCAGATTCCCTGCTGATCCCTGGACCCCTAAATATTTTTTTCCCAATTTTTCCCAATATTTATCTTTCCCACTCCCATCTGCTTCTCTCCCCTGGGATCTGGTGGCTTTTTAGGGAGGTGCTTGGGTGCCACTGGCTCCCCTGGATATTCTCCCTTTTCCTGGGATCTGGGGATTTCCTTTCTCTGATTCCTAGCAGAGATCCTCCGGAATTTTATGGTCTTTTTCTATGTTAGTATCCCCCTGTTGATCCCAAATCCATAGGAGCCTGGCATGCCTCATCCACACAGGGATCTACCCTGTGCTCCCAGATGCCCCAGGAACACGGATTCCACACAGGAACATGGATCCTTTGGGAAAAGCCGCCCCAATCCACGTGGGCAGCCTGATCCAATAGGGGAGGGCTTCTTTGATCCCAGAATCCCGGTAATTGGTATCCCTCAACCATAGCCCCTCTCAGCCGTCGATCCTTGGGCTCCTGGCCTTGATCCATGTGGGAATCAACACCCGGAGATCCATTGGGATCCGCTGCTCCAGGTGTTACTGGTCGCCAGCCCTTTGGTAGGGCCAGAGACAGATCCCGGGATCCCTGCGGACACCCGGATCCCACCGGATCCCGCTTGATCCCGCAGCCCCGAGTGGAGGTGTCTGCTGTGCCAGGACCCCCCGCACGAGGACGTCACCACCGGCTTCCCCTGTCCCGAGGAGGGGACACCCCGCAAGCTCTCGGCCCCGGACCAACAGGTAGACGGAGCATCCCGGTGCCGGGAAAGAGCCGATCCCAACGGATCCCTCACCCTCCTCATCTCCCTCGGCGCAGAAATGCCAACGCGTCTTGCTGGAGCTGCTGTGCCACGAGCCCTGCCGGCCCCTGCACCGGCTTTCCAGCTCTCCGGTGAGTCCCCGGAACGCCGGGAATGCCGGGAATGCCGGAGCCACCCCCGCTGATGTCCCGGTTGTCCCCAGGAGGGCCGGGCCGACGCCGTCGACCTCACCCTGATCCGGGCCAAGCTCCTGGAGAAGCTGTCGCCTCCCTACGGCTGCGCCGAGGAGTTCGCCCGCGACGTGTGGAGGATGATCCGCCAGTTCAACACGCTCACCGAGGTGCGACGGGAAAATCCCGGGCCCTTCCCGGGGCTTGGGAAGGCGAAAAGGTGGGCTGGGATAGGGGGAAGCGGAAGGGCCTTCCCTGCTCCCGTGGAGGGTGGGAAATGCGGGGGTCTCCCTGCGCTGTGGGAATAAAAAAAAATGGGATGGATGGAGGAGGGCGGTGGGAGGAAGGGCTGGTTTTGGGGTGGCTTTTTGGGGGGGTCCAGCCCCTTCTTTGCCCCCCCCAGGACAAGGCGGACGTGCAGTCCATCCTGGGCCTGCAGCGCTTCTTCGAGGCCCGGCTCAACGCCGCCTTCGGCGACCGCAAGTTCTCGGCCCTGCTCGGCCCCGTCGTCCCGCTGGACGAGGCCGAAGGCTCCCGGGCCTCTCCCGCCGGCCCCCTGGGCCCGTGACCGTCTCCTTTAGGTTGGGGGGCAGGAGGCTGCTGGGGAAGGGAGAGGGGGGCAGGACGTGGCTCATTTGGCCTCCCCTTCTTGCCCCATGGCTTGCAGGAGGGATGGGGTGGCAACCTGGTTCCTTCTCCCTTCCTCCTTCCCTTTCCTCCCCCTTTTTGTCCCTGTCTCTACCAGATAAATAAAGCCATGAATCTCCAAGCTCTTCCCCGTCCTGCCATGTTGTCCTCCGGGCGTCAGATTTGCCCTTGAGCCCTCCTCTTCCTCCCCCCCCCTTCATCATCATCATCCCCTCCAGGCACTGGATGGAGGGGGTTGGAAGGGGGAGGTGTCCTTGGAAGCACGGGAAGGAGGGAAGATCTGGGAATGGGGCCTGGAGGGTGCCCATAATAAAGATGGCCGTGCCCAAATTAAAGATGGCGGCGCCCACTGGGGGAGAACGGCACGCCCACTTAGGGGGGTGGGCCTATCAGCGCGTGGCTGGTGCTTGGAGCTCCTCCCACCACCCGCTTTTGGCGGACGGAGGCCGGAGAGGGGAACGGAGAGCTCCGGAAAGAGCCGAGGCTCTCCGATGAGAGCCGAAGGGAGCGGGGAGGGGCGGCGCTCTCCGGAAGTTACCGAGCATAGCCGAAGGGAGCCGAAGCGGCGAGCCCTCCCCGTTTACGGAAAGAGCCGAAGCAGCGGGGGCGGGAGCTCCGCCCCTTTCCGGAAAGAGACGAAGCGGGCGTGGGGAGGAAGACCCCGGAAAGACTCGCCCTCGTTCCGGAAGAACCCGAAGCGCCTTCGGCGCCCGCCCGAGCTCCCTCCGGAAAAGCCCGAAAGGCGCCGGCGCGAAGCCTCCCGCGCCTTGGCCCCGCCCCCTTCCGGAAAGCCCCGAAGCCCCTTCCGGAAACCCCCGAAGCGCTTCCGGAAGTTGCCGATCGGC